TAAGATTTTCTGTTTAATTGATATCTATGTTACATTGGTTTCTTTTATTTTCTTAATTTAATGTCTTAAATTTATTTATTTTAAAATTAAATTGAACTCTTCTGTTACAATTTATGTTAAATTTTATATTAATGTTATATTTATATGTTATATTTATACTGTTGTTATAACTATATGTTATATTTACTATGTTATATTATGTTATGTTTTATAATTTTTTTATTTTTTAATTTTTATGAATTTATTTACATGTTTCTTTGTTAAATTTCTTTTCTGTCTTATTTTTATTTTACATTTAATTAATCTTCATATTAAATTCCTTTTTTATGTTATGATCTATATCATTTAATTTAACTATTTTGTTAAATTAATAATTTTACTAATACTTTTATTATATTTTTAATAAATATATTTTGCAAGATTCTGAAATGTAAAAATTAAAGTAAAAATAATTAATATATGTGTTATATTATATTTCAATTTTTCGCGCGATTTTTAAATAAATAATAAATAAATATATAATAAAAAAATAAGCATCATGAATCAACCAATCAGAATGTCGCTTAATTCGAGACGCGGGACGAATCAATGCGCATCGCAGTGCGCAACGTAGTGCGCAACGCAATGCGCATGTCGTCAGTCTACAGTTAAAAATTGTGTGGAGTGGACGTATCGTCGCGAATTCGGATTACGCAGTAAGTTATTTTACTCTTATTATTACTAAATTTATCAATTATTGCTAATTTACTTTTTTAAGTAATCCATTCCGTATAGTGAAAACAAAATTAATTAGTATTTTGTGTTTCTTTGTGTCTTTTTCTTCGATTGCTCATTTGGCGTCTATTGCGTCATTAACATCTCGGTATCGAAATATTTCGAGATAGAATTTGAAATGGTATTTCGGTTTTTTTAATATAATTTTAATTGCGTACGTTTATTTTATAATTTTTTAATCTTTATTTTTTATCGTTTTAGTCATATTAAAGTAAAAGAAATTTTTTTCGGTTTATTACGTATCCATTTCGTGAAATCGAATTATTCAAGTATCGTATATATTTCTGAATGTATATATATTATGTGTCTCGCGTGTATGTTATTGTTTACTTTTTTTGA